ATTTATTACACTTTTTACAAATATAATTAACTCCACCATTTTCAAAATCCAATCTTCATTTAGATTTTCACAGAGTGAAGAGAAAATGTAACACTATACAAGTGTCTGTTGAGTTTTCAAAATATGGAATCAATTTTTCGTGGAGGTTTCTGGAGTGTGAACTTTCACAAAACTTTTCCGTCTTGAATACTACCTCAAGAAAAAAGTCATAAAGAACATTTAATTCGATCAGGAAAATTTCAACATACCATTGTGTAGAACTATTGTTTGCTAACATGCATGCAAAGTAAAAAGCTATTTTCGTTAGAAAAAAATAATTACTTTAAAAACTGTTTAAGACATGTCAACAAAATCCAATATGACAACGAAACTGTTATCCGAAATGTGATTGCAGATTGGAAGACAATTCACTATGCTTGTTATACCTGTGAAATTAGGTAAAATTAGAGCCACAAATTGTTTGATAGCTCAACTCTAATGTGTAGACACCCCCCCCCCTCCAACAAATCTCCTTAAGAGGAAATTAAGTGGTAGACGTGGGTAGTGCCTTTGTATGCGGGAGTGCAAACTGACTTTGGTCAGTTTAGACTGTTTTTCTTAAGTTCACGACAGGTTGAAGAAACACTATTCGATTATTCAAAGACAGCTATACTTATTTTTTGTTTTATTTTTGTTTGTTTGTTTGTCTGTTTGTTTGTTTTTGCTTGATTACAGTGTAATTTAAAAAATCTGAATAAAGTTAGACATGATTTAGGGTTCTTTGATAATGCCCAAGCATTCCAAAGTTTATCGAGATTACGTTGATGGGAACCCATAGTATTTATGTCTTAGCTTTTTCAAAAGTTGTACAATGCTTTTTCAGCCATTCTGCAATGAAAGACTGTTTCTCATCATTCTGCCTGTCGAGCTGTTTTGGTTCCCGACAGGTCTCTACGTCTTGTTTCTATCTTCTCTTAGGTCACCCCCTGCTTCTTTTGCCTCTGCCTTTACTTCCAGGATCGTAGGTTTCTTGGGTGAATCAAGGTGTTTTGATATGCCCAAAGTCCAAAGTAGTTCAATTTCGGTGTTTTTCAATGTTCTGGAGGAGTGCAAACGTTTCTATTTCTATTCTATTAGTAATTTTGTATTTTCTTGTATCTTGACCGTATAAAGTCATGCTTTACAACCATATACTATTGTTGGGAATATGGTCCTCAGAAGAACAATAATATGATTATAGTTCAGGTCTATTTGAGTCGAATTCCTAAAGACAATTTGTCAATATCAGTCCGATTTCTAGACCCGAACCGAAAAAGTCTACC